AAATTTTTATTCAAGTCTTGTCAGGAATTATTGTATAACGATTGATTAAAACTTCTTCTAAAAAAAGTAATTGCTCGGCTTATATGGTCCTTGTGGTTTGAGTTTCCTTAGGTAATGATTCGTTCCAAGTGATCTTGTACCTCTAGCATTAAATTTTAGCATTTAATGATACTGGGCCTGTCAATCCAAGCGGGTCAAAAATTTTAGAAATTTCCTAAACAAGCTTACGTTGAGTGCAAATGATTTTAGGATCAGTGTTTGTATAATAGTTTATCAAGTTGAGAATTTCAGATTATTCCTAACGTTTTCTGAATAAGATCTTCCTTCATCAAGCAATCTAAGTTGAAGAATTCTTTATCAATACTGCCAAGAATGGCTTAGTGATTGGCTTCATCCCTACTCACAAGGAAAAGTCTTATCTGGCATGGAATTAGTGATTTTAGAAACAATCAAAGACTTTAACTTTCTCTCGTATTTTGTTTGACAAGATTGAAGTTTAAGTTCAATGTATTTATTCGAAGTTGTGTATAAACAGTCTACGGCTCCTACAGACACTGAATAATCTATTGTTGGTTATCCTAACGACTTTGCTAAACAGAAAGGTGGTTGCATTACACAGCTCACGATCCGTTCTACAGCCCATATGTCAAGACAATAATTAGGAAAGCAGTAAAAAAACAAAGTTTCTTATCTGGCTGAGGAATAGATGTTGAACAATTTGCAGATGGCAGCTGGGCAGCGATATTTCCTGGGGTGAGAATAACGATGGCATTGATGATGGTGACGTTGGAAAAAATTGTGCAATTTCGCGAAAGACCAGAAAAAATAGCTACACCCACGCAGTAACTTTTGGGGTGCTGATAGGAAATGTACGGCGGTAACGTATTCGTACAAAAGTCAAGTTCGGAAGATAATAACTGAGCTCTCACGCACACGCATGGGTAAACAAGGCAACGGTCTTATCCCGAGTTTCAGGATCAATGTTTATTTCACGGCTTTATCGTTGATGGCTCGGCTGTTGTATGCAAAAACTAAAATAAGTAATAAAAAAAACCATTAAAAGATAAAGAGAAATGCATCTACTCACGTGGAGAAACTGAATCTTATGCAGCACAAGGGTGTAAGCTACTAAATTCGTATTTGATCGATTTATGACAAACACTCAATAACTAACATGTAAACATCTATAAATTTATTAAGGCATTTGAAGTTGGTAAATAAATCTCACAACTGAAAGAGAAGAAGCACTTGACATGAAAAAACCTTTTTTGTTTATAAGTATAAGCGGATAACTAAAACAAGATGATACGAATACTAACATGCACGCATAAAAGTCATAACTAAGTAGAATTTATAACAAAATAATGCTTGTTATAATACAAAATTAATTGATGTTAATAGAGTGCACTCACCTACAACCTTCAATTAATTTGGTACGAAATCCACTAAAGAGGAGTGATCACGGGATAAGGCAAGCGAATTTCGTGGGTGAGATATAATGATATGAAATAAGATAGTGGGTGATATCTTGTCACAAAAATTCTAAATCACTTACTTATCCCCTACGAACTGGATTGGTCTTCTCCTGGAGGTCCGCCACAGTTGTCCGGCTTCGGGAACGCCAAACACTCCTCAAAGGAAATTGAAAAGGGGAAAGTGGGGCTTTAATTACAAATAAACCCAATCACCGATGTAAGCTTCACTCTCTCTATCTTTGCTATATAT